AACTAGTGAAAGTGGGTTTCTTCGGGGTACTCCCGTTTCCCTCCACATCAAATTCTTTGGCATTGGATCTAAAGATCCAAGCCTAGGCAATTGGATCCACTGATCTTTGCCAGGCCCTGTTAAGGCCCGTTTGCTTCATGTTATTTCGATAACTTGCCAAAAATCGGCTGCCGACTTACTCCTTCTTCAAGATCAACCGGCCTCTGCTACGCCTTGGACTTGCCTTCACTTGTGCCTACTTGCCTCATCATCATGCCTATATATACGGGAATATATATATGTAAATTAATTTTTTTTCTCGCCCATACGGCTCATTAATTCGCTGACCATTAATTGAAACCTAACCTTATGCCTCGAGCAGGGTGAATGAGGATTGCTAATCTTCGAGCACCCTTGATTAGTAATTGTTTCCTAGGAGATAATTATTTTTAAATCAAAATAACTGCAAGGAACAAACAAACGGAGATACAATTGCACATAGATAGAGACAGAGACAGATAATTGAGTCAAGTGAGCGGTAGTGACTGTAATATAAAATGTGTTTTGTTATCGAGATTGCAAACGTATTGACAGTGGAAATTCTGTGTATTATAAAGTTGTATCGAGAAATAATAAACTAGTTTTAGTTAAGAAAGGACTTGTATCGCTGAAGTTTCTCGGAAAGAATTTCTACGTGAAATTAATAAACGAACAGAGACGTAACAAATTGGTGTCAAAGAAGAAGATGGAAACAAGAGGTGGCAAATCAAACTACAGCTTAGCAGATTTGATGGCAGCAATACAAGAACAGCAAAAGAAACAAGAAGAACGAGAAAAATAAACAAGAAGAGAGATTACAGCAGTTGTTAGAGGAGAAAGAAAATAAACAAGAAGAAAGTCTCCAACAGTTGAGAGAAAGCCAAAGTACACAAATGAAAAACATTAGTAACTTTCAAAGTGAATTAAATACGTTAATAAATGATTTACTGTCTTTTACACAATGAGGATATATTAGCCATCGACCTAATCAGCCTCAGACAACGGGAAGCCCCTTCCAGACCCCGCAGCTGAACCCTAATGCAGACATCTTCAGGCTTACTAGAAGTCACATCTCAGACATGAGTGTCAGCAATAGGGGTGATCTAGTACGAAGGAAGCCATAGGAAGTCGATGGGAAGGCACTGTGGGAAGCATATAGAGCACAATTTGAGCTCTTGGAAGAAATAAATGAATGGACAGAGGAGCAGAAAGCAGTGTACCTAGCAACGAGCCTGAAGGGACAACCACTGGAAATACTTGGACAGTTGCCAGCACACGACAGGCACAACTATAGGGCACTGGTAGCTGCTCTATAAATCAGATATTGAACTCAAAATCAGTCTAAAGTCTACAGGGCTAGGTTTAGGATTAGAGTCCGTGTTAAAGTGGAGAGCCTGCAAGAGCTGGCAGAGGATTTGGAAAGTATGGCACACAAAGCCTACCCAACTGTGCCACCCGATCTCCTCAAGTTGTTCCTGAAGGATCAGTTAGTGGATGCCTTGGGCAGTCCACAACTGAAGATACAAGTAAAGCAAGCACACCCCGCTACTATACAGGATTCAATGGCCAGAGCTCTTGAATTCGAATCCTATGTTAAGTCCAGCACAGAGGTACCAATGTTGATACTGTCATCAGGATTCATGGCCAGAATAGGTCAGCTTTCAGAGAGGTTTGAGGGACTTTGCTGGCACTGTGACAAATCTGGACACAAGAAAGCTCAATGCTGGAAACTTCAACACAGGGAAGATGCCACAGCAGGAAAGGCTGCTACCCAGAAAGGTTGTTGGAACTGTTGAGAACAAGGACATATGTGGAGCCAGTGTAAGAAGAATATTACCAATAAGTCAGCCTCAAGGAAACCAGTAGTGGTTCGGTGTCGAGGGACGCCTACCAATCCTCATTGTGAAAGTCTCAACAGCTAAGTGTAAAATGGCAAGCATACATAGTTTCTACGTGATAGGAAAGATGGATGGCCAAAAGTGCAGCTTTTCCATAAATTCTGCATCTCAACAAACCCTTGTGAGTATCAAGGTGCTAGATCACAAAGGAGTACCAGAAGCTGTACAGAAGCTCTATGGTGTGACAGGACATTATGCAGGTTGTGGGGACCAGTGTGGGTAACTATTGAGCTCATAGGCATGAAGGACAGACACAAAGTATACTTAGCTAACAATGAAGACCAATGCATATTACGGTTGGACTACTTACTACCAAGGAAGTGTGTAATTAATTTTGATAAAACGACGTTTGGGAACAACAAAGGCTAAATTCCGATAACTGTTAAAAGAGAGGTTGATCTAACTAGGTGCCATCAAGCTGAAGACAAAGTGACTGAAGTAGTTGATGATAGAGAAGTGGAACCAGGTATAAATATTAAAGCAGAGCAGGAGAAAGATCAAGATTTGATGCCAATAATCGATTTTCTAAAAGCAAGTGTTTTGCACCCTGCTTGGGAGAAGGTGTCTAGTCTAAGTCCCGTGACAAAGAACTATTGGGCACAATGGGACCAATTGAAGCTTGAAGATGGTATTCTTCTCTGGAGATGGGAAACTGCAGATGGAAAATGACGACCTGGCAAACGGTTATACCGAGAAAGTTACGGGAAGTTGGCATGCGTCAATCCCACGATAGTTTAACAGGAGGACATCTCGGAGTTAAGAAGTCAAGGAGTCACCTACAACAGAGATTTTACTGGATAGGTATGAGGCAAGATGTGGAAGAATGGTGCAGGACATGCAGTACATGTTGCGTTGTGATGGATTATTTCACCAAGTGGCCTGAGGCATATGCAACAACAAATCAGGAAGCTACAACTGTAGCTTCAGCTATTAGTGATTTCTTCTTCAGATGTGGTATGCCATACGAACTACATTCAGATCAAGGTCATAACTTTGAATCAGCTGTGTTCCATGAATGCTGCAAGTAGTTTGGCATACAAAAGACCAGAACAACGCCACTTCACCCACAGTCTGATGGAATGGTAGAAAAGTAATTGGCAAAGTTTTGTAATAGTCGCCAAGATGACTGGGATGTCTTACTCCCTCCACTGTTGATGGCATATACGAAATCAGAGAATGAAACCACTGGATACACTCCAGAAAAGTTATTGCTTGGTCGGGAACTTCGGTTGCCAGTGGATCTGTTAACAGGACTCCCACCTTACGAAGAGTTGCCTGGAAATGTGTCAGAATTCGTGAAAGTGTTATCGAAAAGGATGGATAATATTCACCATCAAGTGAGTTCAAACTTGAAAACGTCTGCTGATTCGATAAAAGTTATGTTATGATAAGAGATCTACTGAAGTCAGCTTTGTACCAGGAGACAAGGTGTGGTTGTATAATCCCAGGAAGACCAAAGGGAAGTCTCCCAGGTTGTCATCTCCATGGAAAGTCCCATATGACATAATGGATCGTCTCTCGAACGTGGATAAAATGTGGTCGGCGAGGTAAGCCAAAGGTGGTGCATACCAAAAGGCTTTGGAATTATCACAGTCCAGGACATTTCAGTTGGAATGTAGTGAACAACGAGACATACGACGTTGCGGAAGACATGGGAAGGCTACTGTCGAAGAAGAAATTCTACCCGGTTTTGAGAAGGGAAATAATGAAGCCCTTGATGAATTTGCTACCATTGATGTGACTGTTACTGATGAGAGGACAATTACCAATGGAGCAGATGAACCCCAGTATGGAAGAGGATACGTCCCGTAAAATTAAGAGACTTTGTTGAATTTTAATTTTCGTATTTGTAGTGTTTTTAAATTCTGTATATTTAACTAAGTTATTGTTAATTATCTATTGGTTTAATGTAAGTGGCTATTGGTCGGGACGAACAATACCAAGGAAGTGTTACGACAGCGGAAGTCACGTGACGCTAGTAACACGTCATGATATTCTAGAAGGATCATGTCGATTCGTGGCAACTCTGGTCTTTTCTACACACCCTCTATTTTTGTATATAAGTACCCCAGATAAAGCGAAATTAATTAATCGGAAATTGAATTGCAGACAGAGAGATATAGAGACAGATAATCGAGTCAAGCCGTAAGTAAAGTGCGTGAAACGTTGTGAATTCTAGCGTATGTTTAAGTTAAAGTGACTGTGGAAATTAAGTGTATCGCAAAGTTGTATTGAGAAAGAATAAACCAGTTTTATTTAAGAAAGAACTTGTATCGGCTGAAGTTTCATTCGAAAGAAATCATACGAGAAATTAACCAACGAACACACCGGCGTAACAATATATTTATTACATAGTCGTCTGGCCACTTTCTATATTCTCGACACCGATTAGTTATTAACAAAACCTTCTATAATCGTCTGCTTTTAACTCTTATCATAACAAAACTTAAAAATAATAAATGGTCAATTAATTCCTCAGGCTGTTTTATAATGTTGAAGGATCCACGTTAAAAAGATGGTAAAACAATTCCTCAGATTGCATTATAATGTTGAAGGACCCATCTTAGAAAGATGGTAAAACAGTTCCTCAGGTTGTGTTTATATTGTTGAAGGATCCACGTTAGAAACATGGTGATATAATTCCTCAGGCTGTGTTATATTGTTGAAGGATCTACCTTAGAAAGATGGTAAAATAATTCTTCGGCTCTTATATAATGTTGAATGATCCACGTTAGAAACATGGTAAAATAATTCCTCAGATTGTGTTATATTGCTGAAGGATCCACGTTAGAAACATGGTAAAATAATTCCTCAGGTTGTGTTTTATTGTTGAAGGATCCACGTTAGAAAGATGGTAAAATAATTCCTCAGGTTGTGTTTTATTGTTGAAGGATCCACGTTAGAATTTTTTTTTTTGAAAATTGTAGTCTTTAGAAAGGTTACCTATACTTTATAGTAAAAGTACCAATACTTTATGTACAACATGTTTTAATGTTTATCCTAAAGACTTAGTTTACGTTTTGTTTTCTGGTTTTAAAAGTTACTTCTTATGTTATATGTGCTTAGCCACGAATTATAACAGACTTAAGAATATACAGACATTTTATTGGATATCTTTTTCCTACAGTTTTCTTCCATCAGGCAAACACTGAATGCATATTTTACATGAATGTTTGTGACTTCTCTGGACCTGTAGATGGTTTTGTAGAACTCAGTTCTCCAGGAATCTTTGCTGTTGTCTCCCATTCATCAACAGAGAAGATGCGTATGCACACGTGGGAAGGTGCAGAACAAAAAATAATAATAAATAAAGGATTCACGTGCATTGACAAGGTGGGGTAATCTAACATCTACCAACGAAACAATTGCAAAACGCCAGATGACCAGCTCTTCCAGGGTGGTCGAGATGGTCAGAGGATTCCCCTAAAAATTAAATAAATCATTCGTAACTATAGACATTTGCTTTATTAAAGTTAATTTTACCAATATAGATAAACTTTGTGATTGTTCAACATATTATTCAGTTTTGGTTATGTGGTTTTAACTATATGTTTCCTTTTATAAAACGTCTGCTCCATTAAATAGCCATCAATCAATATCACAGTTTTATACTCTCCTTCCACACATTATGCCTCACATACTACGGTTAACTACATGTAGTTTTGAATGTGAATCCAGTTATTAAAAGGTTTTTATAGTTTGACTTACAAACAATACCGTTACACTATCATTCATTAATTCTATAGAAATTGCAAGAGGAAGACAATTAATCAGATATGACGAAAACTTAGAAATGAAAGATGTCTCCCTAACTCTTTATATTGGAAACAGAGACCTAACTCTTTATATTGGAAACAGAGTCATAACTTTTTATATTGAAAACGGGGGCCAAACTCTTTATATTGGAAACAGAGGCCTAACTGTTTATATTGTAAACAGAGGCCTAACTCTTTATATTGCAAACAGAGACCTAATGTTTGTTATTAAAACGAACTTAATTTTGTAGTCAAGCAATTTCATCCAATGAGAATAATTTTAATCTTCCGTAACTAAAGAAAGCAAAAGTTTAAAGTACTTGAAATTATCGAACATACAGATAAATATTAACTTTCATAACTCAAAAACGAAGAGAAAAAAACTTCTTGGTTTATATATTTTTTCAAGTTTTTAGGAAATGCATTACACTTGTTCTTGCGTACTTTAATTTATGTTATTTTCATTCCGACATGAGTGATAACAAAAGTAAATAAACCCACTTTTTATCTTTAGATAGTTTCGAAAGGGCAGATGAGGGTTGGAGTGTGTGTAGAAAGGTGTTCTTCGTTCAGCCCTTCAAAACTGACTGTCACTGAATTCTCATACTGACCACTTGATACCAGTCGTATTGCTGTGCTGCTACAAGCCACATCAATAACTTCTTTACCTGAAAATCAATGGTTAAGCTCATCAAGGTCGCCACCTACAATATGTTATAAATATGGCATAGCCTCAATTCACATAGAATCGAACATTTCACTTATATTTAGAGAGCTTGGGCTGCAGTGTTCTTGGAAGTGGGTTATAGAAAAAATATTAACAAAGACAGCGTTTCAGTCAAAAACAAAGAGAACAAACAAAGCTCCATGGTTTACACAACATCGAAACATTTTGTATTATTATAGATTTTAATTACATGTATGTGTTATTTTGTAAGTACGTTCTTTGCACAAATATGAGTGTACCTTAATATAGTTACGACAGCGGAAGTCACGCGACGCCGGGAGCATGCACACTGGAGTTTCTAGAAGGATCGTGACTACACGAGGGCTATCTACGCTAGCCGTCCCTAATTTA